GGGGGGGAAAGATCTAAATTTTTTTATATGTTTATTTTTCATTTACATAACTGTAAACAGACAGCGATAGATCCGGGGAAAAAATATTGTACATTAGACGAGTCATTTAGTTAGGTTGATGTGAAGGTTTGAATTGAAAATAAATGTGTTAATGTGGTATCAGTTGCTATGGTGATTAAGATTTGGGAAAAGGGAGGCAATTTTTTAGGTTATCTATCTAGATGCGGCGTCACATAAATGTGGATGAACGTGGGGATGAAGCTAGATAGATAACCTAAAAAACTGAGTTATTTTCCTTTGGGGATGTGCCACTTCTGTTGTTGATTGCTTTAGATGAGCTTTGTCGTTTTTATAAGGGACTTACGAAGAAAGCTACGTTAGAATTATGTCATTTTATGCTGTAAGAATAGGACGAACACCTGGTATTTACTGTAGTTGGGACGTGTGTAAAAAGCAGGTTGATGGATTTTCAAATAGTAAGTTAGTCTGCAATTTATACACCTTTTCGTAAAAAATGTGTGATTTTAGGTCAGTTTAAGAAGTTTCACGACAAAGAAGCGGCTGAGCATTTTCTAAATGGGTTTGCAACTGTGAAGGTAGGTAGGAAAAATAGTAGGTTAATTGAAGTACAGTTGAAATCTTTAGAAAGTCGCTGATGTTGAAGCCAATGAAGAACTTGATTGGGGTGACACCAGTGATGGTGAAATTTTGGATGCTGTGAAGCTGTTTGAAAGTACGCAGTCGATAAAGATTGACGGAAAGGTGAATTTGAAAAATGTTGAATTGATTGGTATAAATGGTAAAAGGCACGATGCGGTTTCAGAAGAAAAATGTGATTGTGGAGGTATTCTTACATTTTGAAACAGCTTAATGTTTGAAATTGTGAATTGTTGTTGTTTTTGGATGTAGATGATGAAGAAAAGCACGAATCGTCAGATGTTAATAATAAAAATGCCGTCTCCGATTTAGAAAAAGCAAGTATTGTCCGAGGTGAAAAAGCGGTTTTATTAAGCACATTGTGCCAATGTCAGAGATGTAAATTTAACTTGGAAAACAGTTGTTTTGACCTGAGGATGATCGTGTGACTCCTGATCGTAACTGAAAGACTGGCCGTTAATAGCGTTCAGCGTGTGTTTTCTTTCTACAAGCAGTTGTGGTTTTAGACATTGGAAGCAACAGTACCAAGAGATGTTATCAAGAAATTCGCACCCCAGATGAATCAATGCAATTGCAATGTGAGAATGTTCGATTATCTCCCCCATCGTTTAATAAAAAATTTCACGGAAGCATTCCGCTGTTACAAAACGTAAGTAATGACATAATTTCTAAAGTTATAATCCAATATGTTTGCGTTTAATTCTGTTCTAGAGCTTATCGGCAATGTATATCCATGATGATACGGTTTGGTTCGAGGCCCAAGAATACAAAGAAATAGACTAGTGTTTTTGCATGTATATATTTATCATGTTTTAGTACTACTTAAATAAAAGTACTCAGGGGAGGAATGGATCTGCGGCTCACATTTAGGCTTCATATATGAGTTCAACTCTATTAACACTTCTTGAGAAGAACGGTTTTGATACGCCATTGTTAAACATATTACTACTGTATGCAGCGCCAATGAAGTCTAAGAATAGAGCGAATCGCAGATTGGCTTAGTTTGCATGCATCGGTTGTACAAAAATTGGCTTCAAAACTATTGACTTTTGTCAGCAGAACGTAAACTGACGCTATATTCATGTGTTTCAAATAAAGGATAAGCAAATTTTCTTGTTTCATTGTAAGAATGCTTGGAGAAAATGAAGTGCTTATTTCATTGATTAATAAGGCTTAGATCCTGTAAAAAAGATCGCAAAGTGATTTTTATTTAGTTAATTATAGAATTTCCTATATAATCTTTTAATAAGGCTTTTGTAACCAACTTGCGAAGGTTTATGTATGGAAAGGCTATACATGAACAACCAGAAGTCCCCGCA